CCTCGTGAAAAGCAAACAATTATAATACCCTTCAAGCTCTGTATAAATATAGAGCACTTAAAAGTGAATCATACTTATTTGTACTTCAGCTTCTGAGAATGCTAATTTTTTAGCCAAGTGCCATCTGCTAAAACGTCATCTGCTATCCTTATAAAATAAAATCTCTAGCAGCTGGTGTGTTTGGGGACTTTAGGTAACAAAATCTGTTGGAAATAGACCCGTAAAGAACAATTTCTCTATCTTTGTATGATGTCTTCTTTTTGCACCATGTTGAGAGAAAAAAGTGTTTACCTTTTATAATGGCGTTTCTCATGATGTCTTTTGTTAGTAGATGTTATTCAGACTTTAAAAGAGCCTTAGTGACTGAGGTGCTGCGACTGTCGTTCCCCACAACACCTGAACCAGTGGTGCATCCTGAAGTGTGGGCTGAGTCAATACAGGAGGCAGCGGGCTGTCAGTCAAAAGACAATATCGCCTGTGATGCATTGGTTTGTGTCAGCTCCTTCACTGGTTATCAGCGCCATATTGACAAATCACATCTGAAGAGACAATAGGGAATGTCTTTTTCACAAGCAGCACACAAAAAGGTTTCCTCTTCAGGTGGCGTTACCGTAGTAACACTCAGAAAGGTGGCGAGTGTTTGATTCTTTTAATAATTGTAACCTTACATGTAATAGGCATCTCTTGAGTGGTATGGCTGCAGATACGTTACACGGGACAAAGCTGATAGTCTGCAGTAGTAATGGGCAGACTCCTGGCCTCCTAATTGCTTACAGGGTCCATGCACGGCTCATCAGTGAGGAGTTTAATTGGCCTTCACTACCCAGGCAAGCATGAGGCTAAGGCTAGTCGCGTTCCTGCCTGCTCACTTTCACTCAGGTGCTGCAGAATACCTAAGCAGCTCCATTCATTCTGCACCGCTGCCACTAATGAATACTGTTTAGGCCGGAGGTCTTGATCATTGTGTCGTGCTCCATCTTGGTCCTTTTCTCGTGTTTGTCACCGCGGTTTCCTGGTGTCGTTCCACTGTTTGCTCTTTTTTTGCTCACTGTTAAGCATCAGTGTAATGAAGTGCTTCCTGGTTCTGTATTGAGGCCTCACATGCAAACCTGACTCGCTGGGAGATAAGTGTCTTCAGCTGCTGGCAATCAATTTATTTACCCTCCCAACTTTGAATGCATGTGTGGAGTGAAAAGATGTGAGGAGATGCAAAAAGAAACGGTTGAAATGGGTGTCTGTGCTCATTCCTGCTTTAATAAAGGGAAGCATAACCCCATGACACCGTCTTTGATAACACAATCACACACGTTCGGAGCTCGTTTCAATCTGCAGCATTTAAAACACACACAAAAGATCGTCTCTTTACGCAGCTGTGCATTATTCCCCATTTTGCTTTCTCTAGATGGGATGAAGCTCCTTCATGAAAAGCCCCAAACCCTCAAAAATGAAAGACACCCACACGTAATGCATTATTGATCGGTACTTAAATCAGTTTGATAACAGCTTTGTCAAATCAGCTCTTTTAACAATCAGATTAGGGCTTTTAGTACAATCGATCGGGAAGGGATTTCAGATCTACAAGATGACAGTAACGGAGAAGAGCATGGCTTCAGACCTGCAGCACACTTGAAAAAGATCTGGGATAAACAGGTTTGCTGTTGAACACACGCTGAAAGCAAAAACCAGGAAGCAAGGCGTAAAAACCAAATTCAGATTGTGACAGTATCTGTCCCTTCAGAGTTCATATTTCTGTACCATCAGAGCTTAAAACTAAGGTCATCCTATGTTGATAGATGATGGGGTCTTATCTGAAGATCACATTATGAGTGATCTAATGTGAGTGGCGCTCTAAGCTTCTGTTACGAATGCCTCTCCGCTCCTGCAACGCCAACTTAAAGCTTAAAATCTGAAAAGAAAACAGAGCTGAAGCCGTTTCAGAGCTTTAAGGCCCTGTCCACACGTAGCTGGGGATCTGCCAAAACGTAGATATTTTTCTACGTTTTGGCCTGTCATCCACACGAAAACGGAGTTTTTTTCACACAAAAATGGATCTTTTTAAAAACTCCGGCCAAAGTGAAGATCTGCGTTTTCTCCGTTTTGGGTGTCTGCGTGTGGACAGACAAAACCGGAGTTTTAAGGTCCGCAACGTCACTTTCCGCGACAAAAAAATGCTGACATCACGTGTGCGACCTGTGTTTACACTAGCCGACAGCATGGATGCCCTCAGAGCTGCGCTCGCTTTATCAATTGTCCAAGCGCTGTTTGCTTGTTTGTTTTTGCAAGCGGAATTACTGCTCCTTGCGGAAGACCACAGACGAAGGACGAGGTTAAGAACGGGGGAAGTACTGCCGCCTACAGGTCTGGCATGTCCTTAACAACGTATTTATCCGGGTACGTGTGGACAGTTTTTTTCTTTTAAAACGAGGTGGTGTGGATGCAAGTTTTTGGAGGGGCGGATATTCGTTTAAAAAAAACCCGGCTACGTGTGGACTAGGCCTAAGTTTGATTAGCTGCGGCAGCCTTCCTAAATTAGACCGACTCCTAAAGTGAAGCCGTTGTAGATGAAACATCCAAAGATTACTTTCTAGGGAATTCTTTAAATTCTTCCAGTGGTTTATGAAATATTTAGCCACATCAAATCACCGTGATCAGGGCGTGGAGCAGAGATCAACGCGTCCTCCTCTGATGTTTATTGTTGCAAGTCATTGTCTTGGGTCGTGACTTCCAGA